TATATATATATATATTATTAAATTCAAATCTAAATACTTCAGTTAATTATTATAGTATAACACAGATGTGTATAAGCATTAAATATATTCTGCTATTTGACAAACTCTCAAGCATAATAAAGTAAGCACTGAAAATAATTTTAAAATTGTATATTATAATAATTTTAAAACAGAATTTTTCGTGCTTCCTGCAACAAACCTCTCTAGCACTAATATATTTCTGCAACATACTATTAACAATAACAAATATTTCCAATTTAAAGTAACAGAAGCATTGTGTTCACAGAAAAAAAATAATCTATTTAGATAAAATAAAATTTTACATAATTTTTTAATTTAATATGTAATATTTTCTCATTCTAATATTATGGGTGATATTCTTGTATTTTGTAGGGCAAAAAACACACGAATTGTTTCCTTTTTATTTACTGTAATAGTGAAATCCGTAACGGTAACTATAAAAAAAAGATAGACGGCAAGATCATGTGAATCCGACTCTTCAAATAAAGGTTACAAAATGCGTGTTTCATTGGACCCAGCTGTTGTACTAAATAGTATTAGTATAGTATTAAAAATATTGGTTTTCAAAAACTGTGTAAATCATTAGCAATAACTGCCAAAAAATCGATAGAATCATTACTTTAAAAATTAAATATTCAAATACGTGATTTGAATTTCCTTTATTGTCAAAAATATATCATGATATTAAAAACCATGTGAAAATCAATATCTGCCAAAAATAGAATCAAAACGCTACATAAATTTACGATACATTCGGCAAATTGAGCATGTCATAAAGTGATTATTTAAATGCGCGATTCACATTTTATGTGAAGAAAGAATATCAGCTGAGAAATAATCGGAATTTAAAAAACCTCGTGAAATTTGGTAGCACTAGCATTAAAAAGTAAGAAAAAAAGATGCTGAAAAGAATGATGAAATCTCCCTATTAAACGGAAATAATCAAACAATTTATTTGAGTTTTGCAAGTAATAAAATTGTATAAAAAAACACCAGGATGTCTTTTTTTTTAAAATTTGAAAATTCGTAGCAATAACTGCCAAAAATATGATCAAAACACAACATATTTACGATGGAATCGGCATGAGTTGTGAGCAATAAAAATTCAAACGAGTGATTTAAAATTTTTATGTGAATAATATATTAAAGAATTCCACGTTCGGCTGACCACCTGACCGGAACATCTGCTCCTGCACCCCAGAGCCCAAGGTCAAAAAAACTGAGATGGTCACAGTAGGCCTTGGCCCACTATGGGCTGCCGCGCCACTGAGTTTAGTTTAGTATATTAAAAATGTTGAAACTATTTTATTTCAACCAAGAAAAAAAAGAGGGACATTATTTTGCTACTAATCAGAACTTGTAACAATATCCCCACTCACAGTAAAATTACATCATGTAACATACAGTGTTCTTGAAAGAAAAAAAAAAAAAAGAAAGAAAGAATACGATTTTTAGAGCAAAGCAAACTATCACTCAAATTTTCGGATTTAAAAATATATATATAAATCCGAAATACATTATCTAATTCAAATTCTAGCTGAAGTCAGTCATTATCAAATTTTTATTTCAAAAATAAGAATTGAAAAATCACAAGCATTTCTTTCCTGTTCAATGAGCAAGAAAGGCACCTTTTACAACTAATTCTGCAGAAAAGAAAACCATAATTTTTTACTTCATTATATTCTTCATTCAGTTTTGATTGTTCTTAAAGAAGATTGGAAAATCATGAGCATTTCTCTTCCTACTAATGCATGAGAAAATCATTTTTTGAATATAATTCTGGAGTTAAAAAAATCTTTCAAACATTTTTTAATTCAACATTCTTTGTTTTTCATTATTTTCTTATGAGAATAGAAAAATCATGAACATTTCTTTTCTCTGATGTGTCAGAAAGGCATCTTTTGAATATAATTCTTCAGAAAAGAAAAGAAAAAAACAAGAAAAAAAATTTTCCTAAAGGAGGAATCTTTTGCAAAAACTCTAACATTCGGTGAGAATATTGCCACAATTCTGCCATGGGGGCAAAAATTTGAATTAAAATTGAAAAAAATAAATAAAAGTTAAATAAAGGAAATTTAATAAAATGTTATTTATTTTAATTATTTACCAAAATGTATATAGTTGAAAACAACTAAATTTTATTTTTAAAAATAAGATTATGACAAATATTGACACTAACATTGAATATAAACTTTAGCAAACCTCTTAAGCTTTTTGTTCGAAGAGCTTGCAAGTCTATCAGCCTGATTTCCTAATATAGAACTCAAATTGTCAGTGCTTCCTGCCCCAAGCTAAAAAGAAAAAAAAATCACATGATGTGAACATAGGTATTATGTGAATTCATATGATGTGAACATCCACTCAGAAATTAAAAATATCTTTATATATTAAAAAATTCTTTAAATCACCTTTAGATTTAATTTACTGTCATACATTAAGATATGTTTAGTTAACTTTTAAATAAATAAGTACGCATATTATATCTATTTTAAATGTTAAGAAAAAATAAAATCTCACAGATATCACATTTTTCTTTTTAAAAAAAACTTAAATTCTGTGATCAATTCACTTTGTGATATGATATTTTTAGTACTACTTGATGAAATTCTTAACAAGTTTTCTGTTTATAGTTATTTTCAGTTTTTAACTAAACTCCTTTTTTTTTTCCTCCACTCTCTGCAATAAATTCAAAATTTTGAAGACAAAGATCCATGTCAATTAGACAAAAATTTCATTTGCGTATAGAATTGTTGATTAGTGCAAAAATGAAGGTATCGTGAACATTCCCTCTCAGAAGAGCTAAAACTATACAAATTAATAAGAAGGTATACAAACCACAAATTATGTGATGAGGAAAGCTAACAGATTAAAAATTATATCTTATAGAAAAGGGAAATCATCCAAGTTCAACGGTAAAAGACAGTTTGATAACGATCAAGATCATCCAACATTGAGAAAGGTCAACATTTTATGTGATAGACAAGTTAAAAACCATCTCATTTTTGTTCTAAAATAAAGATTTATACAGGAAATAATTGGAGAGGTTAATTTTATTAAGTATAGACTGAGAAAAAAATGCAAGGGTAATAGGGCAAAGACATGGAAACTCAAAGTGTGAAATTTGTAGTTAGGTCTGGCAAACCACAATCTTTTTCTTAAATTAATTAAAGTATAAGAATAGAGCTATGGCATTTCCTCAATAACAGTTAACATAATCAGGAATCGATATCTAAGTGACGTCCAAAATATCCAGATGTAGAATATCAAGAATATCTAAAACATCAACTGAATGATGCTGTTGCTGTTGTTACTTTACGTCGCACTAGAGCTGCACAATGGGCTATTGGCGACGGTCTGGGAAACATCCCGGAGGATGATCCGAAGACATGCCATCACAATTTTGATCCTCTGCGGAAGGGATGGCACCCCCGCTTCGGTAGCCCGACGACCTGCGCGCGAAGTCGAGCACTTTACGGTAGCACAGTTTAACGAGGACCAATACCGCACACCCTCGGTCCCTACGCAGACTGATCCAAGTGGTCACCCACCCGCACACTGACAGTAGCCAGTGATGCTTGACTTCGGTGATCTGCTCAACTGAATGAATACTTTATAGATGTATTTGGATATCTTAGGGACATTAGTGGCAGTGTGAAATTAAACAGAAAAAATAGTTGATACGAATACGATGGAAAACATTTAATTTTATGAGAACATTCCCTTTATTAAACTGAAAATGAAATCTATTGAAATCTATATGAAACACATCTCTTACAACAACAAGCATTCCCCCTCCTGCTACATTTATTAGGAGATTTTGATTAGACACTTTTTGTAAAAGATATTTTAAGGATATTAAAAAAAAAAAGTTCATAATAGAAATTAACTACATTTTAACTACTACAACCATCTAAATATTTTTGTGCAATGCGATATTATTGAGAACAATCATACCTGTTGAGCTAACAGTTCACGTCTTTTTTGAGATCTTTCCTTTAATTTTTTTAATGTGTCCCCCATAATTTTTTTTAGTAAAAAGTTAAATAAGATGAAGAACTTTTCAAATTATTTACATCAACATAAATCGCAAACACCAGTTTACCGGCGGTGTATTAACTTAAAGTTTCTTGTTGCCTATTTCTAGGTGATTGAAGATTCAAGGTTGATGGTATTTAAGGCTTATTCTCACAAAAGCATATTAAGCTATTGTTAACGCTTTATCAATTCGCATTAATGTTAGTGCGAAACATTTCTTGAATTTGAAATCGGTATGCCAGAAATCCATTAAATTACTTAAAAACATGAATATCAAGCTTTAAAAATCAATATTTTGGGTTAAGAGGAAAGTCCAATGTCAACATACTAAATTATTGAACTTCTTGATTCAACAAAAATAATTTATGGTGTATGGAATGATTTCACAAATAAGAGAAGGGAAATTGATTCAATGAATCCAAAGTCATTTATGTTTGGCACAGAACAGCTGATTACGACTTTTGTGCCACCATTAAACTCTGAATTCACTGCAACTGATCACTGCAGTCTCTTAAATTAATATTTTATTTAAATAAACGAGAAGATAATTATGTCCTTTGTGCCTTTGTCTCATTATCAAATAATAACTATTTGAGGAAAATTCTGCTGAGCATATAAATAAAGCCAATAAATTACCCCCAGAATTTCTTTATTCAATCTGATATTTAAAAACATGATCATCAACTTAGAAAATTATGCAATACATTTCAAATTAGTATAGTAATTCTATTTGTCCATGATCTATATGATTTTTTCTCTTTCTCATCATCTCCCAAAGCACAAGTAATTATTCTCTCAGGCGTTCTAGAATTGTAACTCTGAAAGATTCATAACATCTGAAAGATTCTTTAAAACCATTAACCTTCATTTTTTTTCTTCTTTTCACATATTTATGTACTTTCGGGAGGTTTCTTTTCTCTTTCTTTTATGTACATCGCACTAGAGCTGCACAGTGGGCTATTTGTGACTGTCTGGGAAACACCCTTGAAGAGGATCCAGAGACAACATACATACGTCACATCTCGCTTTACGGGGATACAGATTCACTCACCATCCATCCGCAGATCATAATTTGACATGAAACAGAGCACAATCAATCTCTAATCAACAAACATTCCCATAGCAGAGGTATTGTTTTATTATGGGAACTTAGAGGCATTTGTGACCTAAACAGATTGTACTTTATTTTATTACCGTCGTTGAATAGTCAACCCAATTTTGAGTTTACGACTACTAATGTTCTCCTCCATAGCCTTGTAATTTTGAACCCAATCCCGAAGACAAGGGAACTCCTGTATCAAATATTGGGTGACATTTTCGTACGGGGAGGACTTTTTGATGGAATTAATCCGCAATTGCATTACACGGTGAGGAAAACGACGAAAACCTCCCACATTAAACCTGGCGGTGAGGGGACTCTAACCCATAATCTTCTACCCCCGATGATATTTTATGTCAGCACTGTGGTCGGTGCGAGGTGGGTGTGAATCACATCACTGTAAAGCGTACGGCTCCCTCGAAAGATTTAGCGAGCAGTAGTCACCATTTTGAACACAAGATGTCTTCGGATTGAAGTGATGATTGAACCCACACACCCTCAGGCATGGGCGCAACGTCCTACCAGCCAAACTATCCTGTGGTTTCAATTACATTTATGTTTTAATGTTACTCAGACTTCCATTTGACATAAAACTTTACGAATAAAAAATATTTTTGTATTTCCAACTGTAGAGGTCCGCTTAAAATGTGAAAAAATTTACATATACTGGTTCTTAAACAGTTTGATTACTGACAATAACAGAGCTCTTCTATGCGAAAATAGATATCTAGCTAGATAAAGGTAGTCTTAACAAATATGTGGCTTTTATTAATGTGAAAAATTTAGCAGCCTGCATTTTTACTGTTCGCAATTTTATATTTCAATTAAAATGAAATATTTCACATAGGTTAAAACGCTTGAATACGCCCTCAGCGGAGGAGACCGGTTCCATGTCTAGAGCCTGCCTCTCCTCAGATGTAACGGAATGTATTACAATGTTTAGCCCTTCCATAATAATTTTCCACTTCAAATTATCAAAAATATATTTTAATATTTCCACAATCCTTATTTCATTATAAGTTTATATACATATGCATTATGTTTAATGCCATTCTGAGTTTCATACAATTTCCAAGTTTAAAATTTTTTTATGAGTTTGAAAATTAGAACAGATATATAAGTGTTGAGATACATTAAGATAAAAATGAAAAAAAAAATTTTTTAAATTATTGTTATAGAAATAATTTTAAAAAAATGTAAGAATGAATGAAAAATGTATGAAAAACCAACAAACTCAAAACTAGAAAAGCAAATTACTTGCAAGCTAATTATTTTTAAAATTCATTTACATCGGAACAGGATAAAGGATGAAAATCGAAAATATTAACCCAGTATGGTTCTCTGTTCAGTGGGAAAAAGCATCACATTTCATTTTTATATCTATATATATATATACATACGCACACATCGTTTATATTCAGATTTTAGTTCTGAATGCTTTTAGTGTTTACATAAGAACGAATTGCACGGAAATTTTTTTTAAAAAGAAATCTTTTGTATTTTATTTCAACCTAATATAGCAATATGTACACTTGACATTTTTTTAAAAGTTTAATTTGAAATTAACGATACAGCTTCTTTTACTTTGATAAGCATATGTATTGAATAAACATATTCAAATTTCAGTTAACGTTCTCATAATCTTAGTCTTCATAAATTCTCTGACTTTTCTCTACGGTTTAACAATTAACATTCAGGAATCTCGATGGTATACCTCCTGTTAAAATTTCCAAGATAATCAGATAAAAACTTTCAAATTACAAAGTCCAATTAAAAACAATTTGGGAACCCATAAAAAAAAATCCCAATAGAAGATCGAATACTTGATAGAATCGGCACAAATTGAGTTATTTTATTCATTTAATAGCCCATGACACATTTGCCACTTTTGATAAATAGGGTTTAATTTTTTGGCAGTCTCTTTCAATGTGATAGTAACCCTTAGCGATTTCTATTTTTAATGTCGAAACTACATAGAATATTTAAACAAAATGACAAAAATAATGAGCCTGAAGTATAAAAAATATCCCTAGTTATGAATGAGAAAAAGGGTTGCTACTCTTAAAAATCGATTTCTAGAATCTAATTAAATAATATTTGTCGCTTAAAATACACTGAATCATATAATTGTAACTAAAAATTAGAAATGTGGATAATGTATCAAGTATCTAACCATTAATAGGGAAAACTGATTTAAAATTATTTATTATTAGATATTAAGTTTCGTACTAAACAATAAGAAATAATTATATATATATATATATATATATTTTACTAAATTCATTATTATTGATTTTATTAATAGTTTAAAAAAGAAATGTTTATTTGGCAGAAAATAGAAACAACAAAATTACCAGAAATTTTTTATAAATGTATTACTGATTGCAAGAAAATGAAATAATAGTATCACTGGATAAATTATCACAAGGTATGGTTTGTAACATAAGCAATTTTAAATTTTTTATATATTTTCAATTATCACAAAATTTAATGTAGCACCTGTTTTCAGGGCAAGTGGCCACCCTAAGAAATAAACCTATGACCATGTAAAAAGTACTCAAACCGTTCTCTATGAATGAACTCTTTCGAAAAACAAAAGAGAACTAATAACCCCCCCTCCATTAGAGTGACAAGAATTTAATAACTAACATGATTCACTGATCAACCATAGTGAAAGTTTTTAAAAAGAAAAATTTATCAAAATCATGTGTATATGAAAAGATAAAGTGTGGTATAAATTTTAAAAATTTTTTCACTAAATGTAAACACTAATAAAATACTAAAAACATGAAATGCTTTTATTGTTAAAGTACATTATTTTTAAGAGATCAACAAGTTTAACAATCATAATTTAAGCAAAATGTCGTCAGCATTATAGGTATAATGTCATAAAAAAAGAAAATAATATTCAACTAACAGCCAGTGTGGTATTTAAAAGTACATAATAAGCTAAATTTATAATAACATTAGAAATTATTTTGATTCTTCAATGTGAATAATAAAATATCAATAAGCGAATTAACAATTGGCACATTTTTAAACTGAATAAGATGAAATAATAGAAGACTAATAAGTAACAAATAACGAAGAAAAAAAAACATTCATAATAAAATAAAAACCTTATAAATTTAGGAATAATGAAAAGTAATATATTTCTTAATTACAGTTTATAACAATTAGTCTTTATAATATGCCTTAGAACAAAAATAGTTTTCATCATATTTTAATTGTAATTATATACAACATTTCTACTTTGAAGGAGTGGCACCTAAAATCCTTATCAATCAAATAAGAGAATTGTGACAAAATATTTAAATGTCTTCTTCTTAAACTATTATTTTATTAATAATTTGCTTAAAATAATTTATTATGATAATTATTTTTCCCTGCAAATTTTGCCATAAATGATAACATAAAAGTAAGCTTTAGAAATCAACAATTAAAAATTGTTTACTTTTAAGCAACACATCATCAAGTATAGAATAATTAATTGTCCTTAGGATTATCTTTATATAAAAGTTATGTTTACATAAAAGTTAAAATTACAAAGAAGAAAAAAAAGGGAAGTTTCACCCAATTTCAGTATTTATTTCAACTTACAACTCTAAATATTGCTTTTACAGCAGGTATAATAAAAATAATATTTAACGGACAAAATAAATATTTTTCAAGGGGACAGTCAAAGTAGTAAATTATTGAAGGGATAAAAAAAAACAAAATTTCATATAAAATAAAATGATAATTGAAATTATTTAATGAAACAGACTTACTCATCAAACTACTGACTGTCAAAATTACGTAAAACATGATTTTTAGAAACATAACAGCGCATGGTGATATATTTATAGTAAATTCTAAAATTTAAAATTAAGTGCTATCCCCTGCACTTCTATGTACTACAGTTGCATCCGTAATAAAAAAACAGTGAATATTTTTGTGTGCACACTAGAAATATCCGGTACAAATACAGGTACAGCAACAGTCTAATATATACAGCACATTTCATTACAACCAAAGGATAATAAAATCCAATGATTAATTTAAAAATTTATACATTTTGTACTAAGCTTACCAGCAGAGTATTCTCAAATTTACACAACTTAAAATTCCTAAAAGCTGAAATTATTTTGTGTGTAGGAAGTAGTAATATGCAATCGAAATTACATATATATATATACCATGTAGAATAAATATAACTAAAATTTCCTTTTATTATACTAAAAAAAAAGTTAGTAATAAACAATTCAAAAGCTTTTATAATGCACAAAGCCCCTTCTTGATTTTTGCAATAAATTACATACATCATGATATGGAAAAGTTTTTCCTTCGTTGAATATTAGAAAAACATTATTACTTTTTTTAAAAAAAATTCCGAAACAAAAAATAAATTAACTGCTTATTCATTGTCATATCATCTAGAAGCATTGTTGATTTGTTTATGCCACATAAAAAATAAAGTTAATTCAATGCAGACACATGAACCGCCCAAATACATACAGACACATAAATAAATGACACAACCTTGAATAAACTTGGGCAGAACTAAAAAGTAGCATATATTTCACGTAGAGGAAGAAGATAAAACTCAATAACAGTTTATATGTTTGAAGACGAAAAAAAAAAGGGCTGGCAGAAAGAAAATAGAAAATATAAAACAGTTTATATTTTAAGCAAAGAGTTTCTCAAAACAAGGGTGGCAGTATGGCTTATCATTCTGCTCCTTGAAGGTTCCCTTGTTGAGTTGCTTTAAACAGAAAGAGCACACAAAATGTTCTGGGTGAAATTTACGAGACATAGCTGTAACACACCGACCGCTAATGGGTTTATGGCAGCCAGCACAGAGAGAACCACGTTTTGCATGATAGTGCAATTCACAGTAAGGTAAACCTTCATGCTCAAAGAAACTTCCTCCATTAAAGGGTTGACGACAGTCCTGAAATAGCACAAATAAAAAAAAATTCAACAACCACTTTAACGATTAACATTTCTATCAATGCATCAGTAAAAAATATTTCAAACAACATTGGCAATTAAATATTTTTGGCGAACTTATATAACAACCACTTGCATAAATGAGTTATTCACTGTTTGCAATGACTAAATTCGAAATACAGTAGAACCTCGATTAACCAAGCTTCGATTAACCGAGGCAATAACGAAGTCTAAATTTTTTTTCTCCTCTCCAAAATGAGCCTGGAAGAAATTATACACATATTAGTTCGTTATCCGTGTTACACGCACTTATTCCCTACAAAAGCACTCAACTTCCATGAAATATTACACCCTGAGAAGACAACATCCATGAATACTTTGTTAATCCATGAATACAACATCCATGAATACTTTGTGGTCATGTGACTTGTAAGTTTAATCATGTAAATTTTAAAAATACAATATTTTCTTGAGATTTGTGTTATTTTTGAAAATGCGTCTTTCGATATTTAACTAAGTATAGTTTAAAAAAATTCCATTTTACTTTTTAAAATTTACTACCAGAGTTGATTTCTTTTTTAAGTCTTTTTAGCTGTGACCCATAAGTTCATATATGTTTATTTTTATCATTTATAAAACGTTCTATTGTTTTTCCCTTTAAAAGTAGTTAAATTCGCAAGTAGTTAAATTCGGAAGGTTTTTATACATGGTTCCTATTAACCAAGATTTCCGATATCCGAGGTACTAGCGGTCGCAATTAGCTTGGATAATCGAGGTCTTACTGTACAAGGAAACGTTTTTTTAAATTTGTTTTATAACATAAATTTATTCTAAATACAAAAACCTATGACCAAATCAAAGATTTGACATTTAAACTTAAGATATTTTAAGAAGTTGAGTTAATTACTTAAGGCAGTGAACGACTCAATTATAACCATTTTAAATTCTACCTATACAAGATGCCATCCTCAACCTTTAAAGTTTCTGAACTACTATTTATACATAGCTAACTAAATAATTCCTTTTCTAACAATTATTATAAGGGATATAGCAGCTTCAGGATTTTGATTTTTTAAAAAAGCAACTTTACATAATGTATGCTATAGATTACTTATACGATTTTAAATTTAATCAAATCCTCACATTTTAAAGGGAAAGAAAAAAATAATAAAGAATTGATAAAAAAATATAATAATTGCAAATTATTAGATTACAGACGATTCTCTAAAACAAGGACCAAGTACTATTAACATTCAAAATAATTGATCTTAAGTTTTCAATAATTTACCAGGGTATAAAAATAATCAAGCATGGCATGATCATTGAATGTTAAAAAAGTTGGACATAATTAATGCCATCCCCAAGTACTATTAACATTCAAAATAATTGATCTTAAGTTTTCAATAATTTACCAGGGTATAAAAATAATCAAGCATGGCATGATCATTGAATGTTAAAAAAGTTGGGCATAATTAATATCCTTAAACACACTAAGACATTTTTAGTTAATGAAATGCAATTTTACCAAGTAAATGATAAAGTTAAGAATATAAAATTACATTTAATAATTCTTTTAAATCACTTTGTGGTAAATGCTTCAAGGATTCTTAGTTCACATTTTCTTTTTGGCAGGAGTTTCATAGTTCACTTAATATTTTAATTTTTGGATGCAACAAACGAACGACATGTGAGTTAAATTTAATCAGAAATTTAGCACATAGGAAGGTTATTAAAATTAAATGTGAAAAAGAAATTATCTCTCCATGAGTGATAGCTACATAGCTAACTGAATTGTGAGTTTAATTTATTAAGAAATTAAGTACATAAAAACTTAATCCGTCAGTGTTAGCTACATAGCTAGCTAAATTGTGAGTTAAATTTAATCAGAAATTAATGGCATTGAAGAAATATAATATTAAATACAAAAGAGAAATTATGTCTCAGTTACTGATAGCGATAAATAACAAAAAGATATTTTTAAAAAATGTAGAGAAAAAAACTTTTCAAAGTATGATAAAATTTGGTTATCTGACAGAAGACACTTCAATAATTAAACACCCCTTCCGTTTCAAAAAGCTGATGCAATTTGAATCGAAAATCCTTAATAATACCTAATTTGATACAATGATATTCGAATGAACCAATCTTTGATAATGAGAGAAAATAGAAGCAATAATGAGCCATATGTGAAAACATAATATGGGGATGGGGCCTTCAGTTATCTTGGTCACAGCTGCCGTTGGTTGACAGCCCTGTGTCAGCCGGGATGCTGCATTTGATTGATAGACGAATAGTCCCATTTTAACAACAACAATTTTATCACATTTCTATCACATCTGCATGAAGTTTCCCCTGCAGCCCCCCTATGTTTAAATTAATGATAATGTGTTAGATTTTATTGCATTGACATCTCAAATCTTGAGTCTAAAAGAAACTCTTTCTAGTTAATTTATGGATTGATTAAACCAGGGTTTCTTAACCTGTGGTTCATGAACCCCTAAGGGGTCCATGAGTCATATTTTGGGGGTCCGCTAACTACTCCTAATTTTCAAAACCTTTGGAAGCCTACCCATTGCTTGTAAAGCGATCTATGGCAGCTATAATTCCGTTTGCTACGGTGTATCTTTGCGAAGCGGGATTTTCCACACTCGTGACAATAAAAACAAAACATCGAAATCGATTGAATGTCGAACAAGATATGTGTGATGCTTTGTCGAAAACTATCCCCCAATTCAATTTGTTAATTAAGGAAAAGCAGCAGCAACCTTCACAATAAAAAATTTTAATTATACAAATTGTGTATACTATTAAAATAATAAAATTAAATGTTTTCTAATAATGGATGGTTTTTGCAATTATTTTTGTCACAGGGGGGTGGTCGGTGACTTCTTAAAAAATTTTAAAGGGGGTCCATTATACCAAAAAGGTTAAGAAACACTGGATTAAACTGTGATAAGGACAATATGGCCGACCGGCCTGCGTAGGGGGCAGGGAACTGTCCTTGCATCAGAAAGGTTCTGGGTTTGAATCCTGGTCAAGGCATGGATGTTTCTTTCTCTCTCTCTGTGTTCTATGTCCTTTCTCCTTTGTGTGTGTGAATGTGACCCGTCCTATAAACGGGTTTGTGGTTGTGTGAATGGTGTGGCAGAAGTCAAATTCTTGGCCATAGATGGCGCCACAGAAAAACAAGAACAATAGCACCCCCTCTGCCTAAAGAGGCATACGACAAAAAAAAATGACAATATGTATTCTGAACAGCTAAGAGATGATGAAATCGTTCAGACTGTAATAAAATACCCGAATGTGATAATTCTGATAGTGATGAATTGGAATAAGATCATAGTGGAACTATAACTGAAACAGATGCAGGAGACAACTAAACTTAATGTTTTTCAAAACCACAAAGTTATCTTAGTTTCAATCAGGAATAAACTGATGGTACCCAACTATAACTATTGTAATAAAGAATCTAAAATCTGGTTACTAAAAAAGGAAAATTAAATTTCTTTCTTTCTTTTTTTTTACATTTATGTTATAAAAAAACAGACAGGCACTACAGATGTTTTCTTTTTCCAACTTTATTACAGTCACTAGTTACTTTTAGTAATTTACTACATAAATTATAAAAAAAATAATAAAATTTTAAGTGTGAGTGTTGACAAATTTTTTTAATCTTAAAAGTAAGGACTTTTTTATTCTTTTTCTGAGGGCAGGGGAGAACTAAGCTTTTTTGGAGTAATTTGGAAAAATTTTGGAGTAAAAATTATCAATATTTTTAAAGAAAAATATTCAAGAACAATTTTAAGAAAAAGCTAAAAAACATAATGTTAAATGTTAACATAAACATTAATTTTTTTAACCCCAATAAAAATATTTAAATTATAATAAATAGCAGTACTTGGCAATTTATTACATAGCAGATTACATTTAAGTTTCGATTCTGTTTTCTTTAAGGAATAATTGAAATTTTAGTGACATCTCTTATAAATAATTTTTTATGTAATTTTTCTTTTCATTCTATTATAGCAAGGCTTTAAAATTATTATTATTTCTTTTGCAATAGTTATATCTTTTTAAAAGAAGCATTTTGTAAAACAAAGTAAGTTCATGAAGAACAACATTGAAGATATGTAGGTAAATCATGAACTTTAATATGCATGGGGGGAAAAAAACAAGTCAGGAAAAAAAATATTTTTGCATAAATTGGTAAAAAAAATTAAGTATACAAAATTACAATAATTATAGAAAAAGGGAATACAAGTAAGATTCCCCCAAAATACAGTTATTGTTTTTATTTGCTTAATCATGCAAGAAATAATTTTATAAATGGTAAAAGGGTTTTTTAAAAATAAATAATGAATAAACACAAATCAAATACATTGTAATACAGTAATTATGGTTTTCCTCTACGGAAAACATGAAAGTTATTAATCTTTAACAAATTTCATGTCTTATAAACCAATAAAAATTATGCTTAAACTACAATTCTAGTAATTTTTTGGTACCGCTACTTTTCCAGCATGAAATGTTTTTGAAAAATGTAGTCAGGAAGAAAAAAGCTAATCACAAATTTTAATGACAAATACAACTAGTAGCATTAAAAAATTAGTTTAAAATTTTTTTTTAACCTGCTTTAATGTATAAGGAAGAAAAAATGGATACAAAAATAACCTTATGTATATTGCCCAAGAATTAGCAAAAAGCAATTGCATTTAAAACAATCACAAAAATTTTGGGAATAGGGAAAAAGCACTGCTACAATTTTTTTCTTTATTTAAAGAAAATCTAAAAAAATAAAGCTCAATTATATAAAAACATAAAAATATATCAAAAAGTTTAAAAAATACTTTAACACAAAAATGTAAACATCAAAAACATTTAGTAAAAAAACTGCCAATCACACGTTATTAAAATTAAAAACAAAATTTCTTAATCATTTAAGCCAAAAATAATAAATATTTACATGCAGTTTATATAACGCAGCCATATCATGCTAATATATTAGCTATAAAAGCATTTTTTTAAGCGTAAGCATTAAACTAATTAATATACAACCATCCACACAATTCCTTTAGAAATTAAAACCATGAAAAACTAAAATCCATAAATTAGTAAAACTACACAAGCATTAGATCCAAGCTCCACAAATGAAAAGTTTTTTTCATTTATAACATTTTAGAGAAATGCGGTACAAATGTTATTAAATATAATATTTCTTCCTATTTGTTTTTATTGTCATAAGTTCTAGAAAGACTGCAATTCGTAAAACTATTAAAACACTAAATTAGTGGTTAATTCACGTAATTACCGATACAATTTAATTTTATATACATGCGAATATGGATACCTTCTCACTCTATATACGGTGATGACACTGAATTCTACTTTTTTTCATCCTGTACAATAGCATTGAGAATAAAAAAATGAGATCTTTATATAAAATATGTTTAAAATATAAAATGTCCTTGAAAATCCAACACGGTACTAAACTATACTAAATTATATAATCATAATAATGAATCAGCTGAACTTGATATGGCGTTACTATTATCAGCAATACATAATAAAATAAAACATAATTAAATGAAAAGTTCTTCTAAAAATAGTTTTCCAGAGTTTACAATAAACATTGTTTTCTTTTTAGTTAAACTAGGAAAAAAATTAATGCTCAGTTCAAAAAGGATAAAATAAACATGTAATACATCAACAAAAATAATAAATACAACTACTCAGTTAGTAGTCTATATAGCATATTTCAGTGTAGCAGTTACAAAAGATGATATTTTCAAGTAACTTATAATATTTCAAATCCTAATATAAATGTTTCAGGTATACATAAGATTATTTTAAGTATGCATGAAATATGATTTAAAAAAAAACTTAATAAAGTTTAACAGTTAAATAAATGAATATTTTTTGAATGAAAAAAATACCCATCAAGAATTAAAATTTTAGTAGGAATCATAATTCAGTGCAGTAATTGTAAACCAAACAAGCATTTATGCACTGTCAGTAATATGTGCTACATGAAATCATAAAGAGTTTTTAAATTATTGAGGATGAAGGGTTTGGTTCAAAATTCAGTTCAATCCATTTTCCTCATTGTTGATGGTAAAAAAAGTAAGTAAATTTCCTTCCCTAAATAATTAGAAATTCTACATGTTTCCCTCAATATTCTCTCCTTAAATGTGAATTCTTTATACAGTATGCAATATAAAAAACAGAACACCCTGAATAACTTTTGAGCTAACAATTGGATTCTAACATGTCAGAATTCAATCTTAATGGTTTGAAGCCATACCTAACCTTTAATATGCAAATTTATTAAAGGCTATATATTGATATTTTCAGCAAAGCGACTAAAAGTTTGGACCCTTTAATGTTATTTTTTCTTTTAGCATATTTTGCAATATCTCGAGAATTTTTTCAGAGTCCAAAAATTTCTGCTTGCAATTATAAAATATATTTATTTAAAGATAATTCCATGTAAAAAATAGTTTTTAGTAATTATTTATTATTCTTTAACAATTTTTAAATTAATGGTTGGAAAAAAATTTGATTTCTAAGGTATACATTTTTTAAATTTTTTTTAAAGAATGTAAATTTAATTTGCATAGTTTTGTCAAAATATTAAAAAAAGCGTGAATAGATTGCAAATAGGTATTTATTTTTGAAACCAAACACCTTATGTAGATTTTTTATTAATTTGTATACATAAGTGCTGATGAAACTATATAAAAAAAATTATGAGAAGAGCACAAAGATAAACAAAATTGAATTATTCTAACATCATAAAAAATTAAGGTAGAACTTACCCGGCAAGCAAAACAGTTAGGATGCCATTGACTATTCATAGCAGAGATGTAATTTTCTGTAATAGGACGATTGCAACCAGCACACTTCAATGCAAACATCTCGAGGAAGTCATCCCGGCAGTAAGGTTTACCATCCTTTTCATGAAAACCTTCTTCTCCAAATTGTTTGCCACACTGGGTGCAGAAGAAATGCTCCGGGTGCCAAGTCTTCTCCAGAGCAGTGATGCATTTCTAATGATATCATTTTCATAAATATTAGCATTAATGAGAATGAGGAATTTATCCATTTTCACATTTTTATCTGTTAGACCGAATATTTAATCATAATTTTCTTCAAAATTCTATATGCATTTTAAGCAAATTCATGCTCTTGAATTAAATTAACGGCGTAATTTTAATTTCCATCTGATATAATTCAAGTCAATATAATATAATCATAGTTCAATTCAGTATAAATAAATTGTCAAGCGTTAATCTCCATGACTCCCTGACCCACAACGGGTTTTTGTGCTAACTTAGTTAACTTTATAATTAAAATATTAACAACTAGTAGTTCATAGTATAATTTAGGTACCTACTAAGGATTTTTAAATTAATTAATTATTTTTTTATTATTTCAATTTATAAATTTTTTTATAATTATTTTTCAATTATCTTGATTTAATAATCATATTAAAATATTGAACTTCTTACTTCATAACATATTAAAATTGTTACCGATTATTTTTCAATATACAACCGAACTAGAGAAGACTTATGTTATGGACAATGACTAATCGAATTGAAAACCAATTTTGAACAATTGGTTATAAATTGTATTTAGTACAATTCCTTATAGATTGTAATATGATTCAAATTTTTAATAAAAACATTAAAAAAATTTAACAACTGGCTGAAGAACCCTTTGAACTAGAATCAGTTTGTAATTACTATCAATCTATAAAGATTCAAGTTAAAAATCAAATTAAATAGCTTTTATTTCAATGCAGGAAAAGCTCTTACAGAAGTCGTCCTATTGCCAGGATCATTGAAACGGTTACTTTAAAGAATTTTTTTCTGATTTTTAATTGAATCAATTCATTACCCAGCATAGTATTTTAAACATTCACCAGAAGTGCTCCGGCAAATCGTTATTCTACATAACTTGCGATGTTTCAGAGGATCAAGATCACACTATTTTTAACTGCTCATTTTACTTAAATATCAGGGAAAGGCTTCTCTAAAGAACTACAATCAACATGCCATTTTTGATTGTTTCTATAGACCCCACATCAAGACTCCATTGATCGAACTTGTAAAAGGAATTTTTAACTTCATTCTTCAAATAAACCAGAGAGTGCAACAAAAGAATGCCTTGGGTTTTGCAACCAGACTCAATAGAGTTTTCTGATGATGAAATAGTAACTTAATTTTAATTTGATATTGGACTTGGATTCATCAATAATGTAAGTTGATTTATTTTCCAACTCACTATATAATTATTTTCTTTGTTTTAAAACTTCCCTCTAAGCCACTACCTATTTTTAAATTCTTATTTGATTTGTTTTTGGAATTTTTAACTTTGCTCTTTCGATCAATTTAAATTAAAATTTAGTTATGAGTTCGCAACACTGTTTCTCGAGCTAGGTCAGTGAGGTACTTAGCAATTAAATTTCCCAATGCAAACAATAAAAAAAGCTTCATCTTTAATTAAACACCTTTTTTAACTGTATGACTTAACTGTAAAAAAGTAAGAGCAGGCTTCAAATTTTTTATAGCTTCAATTGCAATAAAATAAACTTCGAAAAAAAAAACAAAAAAAAAACACTCAATTAATTTTTGTAATACAACAATAAAAATAATATAAAAAACACTCATTATATTTTTGTAATACAACAATAAAAATGATTTTTTCAATATAATAGAAAGAAAGAAAAAGTTAAGGTAACTAAGAATACAAATTATTAGAATATAAAAAAATTTTAATATTACTCACATTTCACATAGCAATTAAGCATTTTATATGCTACATTTTATATGCTTTTGATTTTCATTTTGAATTCTATAATTTTCTACTTTATTTAAACATAAGGAAAAGTTTAATATGTTCAAGTTTTACAAGTAAAAGTTCAATAAGTAAAACTAAATTTTAGCCATAGTTTAATATTCAACAAAAATAATAAAGGATTATTTTATATATTTTATCTCATTTATTTTCTGCAACAATTAGATAATAATAAAAGAATGGGGAAAATATTATTACTATGGTTCCAAATACAATAGTTTGTAGACATAATATGGAAAAAATGCTTACTCCTAATATAGCAGCATTACAATAAGCACATTTGGGTGAAAAAATGTTGTGGTAATCTGTTTCACAATAGGGAACACCATCTCTTTCAAAAAAGTTCTTGGTTCCTAATTCTTGTTGACAATGACCACATACAAAGTGCTCTTTATGCCATGTTTTACCAAGTGCTGTAACAACCTAATAACAGTAATAGAAATGAGTACCATAATCTAGTCAACATTCAACTATGTAAAATTTGGGTAAAATCTATATATCTAAATCTAAAACTAGCACTGCATTTAAAATTGTTACACAGAAAATAAATTTAAACTGATAACTTTAACTGCACTCAATACGCATTTAAATTAAAATTAATATTTAATTAAATGAAAAATATATCCTGTTGCTCATTCTGATCTTAAAATTTTGAAGAAAAAAATAACAATAAATCCCTAAATCCTTTAAATCATCTTTTGGGGGTAATTGTAGGAAAATTATTTTAATCTATGATATAGATAAAAACATAGAAATAAATGTAATAATTAGAACAAAGATTTCTAAAAAATAAATTATCAATCATAAAATGTCTAAATGTATACACAAAAACTGCCATCAATGAAGTAAACAAAAACAAATTGAAAATCAAACAAGACAATTTTTAAGTTTTAACATTATGATGTGCAAATAATTTTGTAAATGGTTCAAAAATAAATGAATAAGGATAATAGCTGAATAAATGAAAAAAAAAAAACATCTTAAAAGGTTAAACAAAACAACAAACATAAATAAACATCAGTATGCAGTTGAATTTTCCAATAACATAATAATCATTAGACTGACGGCAAGTATTCTAACTGCATTGAAAGATTTCTTTTTTATCAATAATTATATTTCATAAAATAAGTAATTGTTTTCAAAAAATTAATCAAATCAATCTTAATTATTCCCAATAAAAAAGTAATAAAAACTACAGGTATAAAATTTCAATTATACACAACATATATATTTTTCGGATTCTACTTGCTTCCTTTCAGCTTTCAACACTCCATAAAATTCTCACAATAGTTACACAAATTTAGAACTACTTGATCAAATATTCAGAAGTTGCAGAACTTTTTCCTTATAAAAAAGATAGCTTTAAAGGTAGATTTTGAGAAATACTTCCTAAGTTTGATATATATATTTATATTTTTAGATATATAAAAATTTGAAAGCTAATTTTAGTTGAAAATGTGTGAAGTTTAAACGACTAAGTCATTGATTTTTCTATTTTTTCCCTCATAGATTTATTCTAAAAATGAAGAAAATAATTTTCAATGCATCTTTTCAATACCACAAAACAGAACGTAGAGGCATGCTAACTTAGTTGATTGTTGTATCATTAAATTACGAAACAATTAAGTTACCTGATAGTTTAATAGCACAAAATAATATTGAACAAAAATAATATTAAACATAATAAATACATAAAATAATCAGCTTATTCATAGTTTAATAGCATAAAAATACATTTATTCTCAGGTTTACCTGGTACTTTAATATCTAAATTTCCTTTCTTAAGTGCACAAATAAGATATTTCAAATTATTTTCAAGCAAATTTTGTTCTTGGCAAAATCGAATAAAAATTTCTTGTTAAAAAAAGTAAAAAAAGAGGGGGGAATAAGCAAAGCTTTACATTTTAAAGGAAATGTACTTTAAGTCAATTTGCGCATTTATCAAATGAAAATAAAATGAAGTAAAACAAAAAGTTTCAAAGGAATAATTTTATAATTGGGATCTGAAATTCGGACTGAGTGCAACTATCAATATGGGACTTACAGTCCCAACTAAAATTGACAACAACAAAAAACATGCACTGAAAATAATGAAAGATTTAAAAATGAAATGAATCAAAAACCAGTTTAAGTAAAAAATAATTTTGTTTTGTTTTGTTCATTATTATTGTTAGTAATTATTTCTCAAACTCAAATTTTTATAACAATATGACTACAAATTTGAAAAACCTTGATACTAAACAAGATATTACAAGTAATTTTAAATAAAATTCTCTAAAGAAACTTTTTAATTCTAATAACAACAACTAACAAAATTTTACTATTTTTAAACAATAACTTTAATTTCACACAATTTGGTGTGGCATATGCTGAGAGGATATAATCTCGTGCCACATAAAAATGAGTAAATAAGTAATTTTCTAATTTATTTTTTATTAATTTCAACTGAAAATTTTATTTTCCTACAAAAAAAAAACAAAAAAAATTCTGAGACACAAATAAGAGTTTGATTGTGAATACTGCAATGCTTATTTTCTTAATTTAACATTAGCAACAATTTAATTTTATTAATTTTGTTTTATGACACATGCACTTATATTTTGAAATGCACACTTTTATTAATTTAGTCAGAATTTGATTCCTTAATGAGCTAATTTAGATTATTTTGTCAGCACCATCTTTTTCTTTCCATTAGTTAGAAATTTTTAAGGGTATTCAATCACTTATTGGTATAAAAACAAAAAAAAACTCAGAATAAGGATTTCAAATGCCATGTATATAAAGGTATTTTTTCTCATAGAAAGAAACCGAAAGTTTTTGCTAAATCTTCATGCTCCACTAAGCACCAAATTCTTTTCCCTTCACTCATGGACTATCAACTAGACATAGACAACCAAACTTTTAACACCAGTTATGCTATTCCACAGAGAATTTGTATTAAGAAAAATTTTTACAAATCACAATGCAGAATAAAATAAAAGTTAAAAGCTTGATAAATTGTTATTGCTGTCAATCCTTATTGAAGTAAGATTTCTATAAATCACATTATATTATGGAAGTTAAAAGCTTGATTTATTTTTAATCAACAATAAAAAAGCAAATGTTTCCGTAGGTTAATAAATAATTTTTTTAAAGCTATTCAGCACAGATTTGTTATTGAGTGAACTACGTTTTAATTTTTTCCTCACCTACAAAATCATAACTAAATTGTTAGTTTATTATTAAAATGATTATTTGTGAAATAACTGTTACATATTTATGCTCACTGTTATACTTAGTATATACACACGCTTATGCAAATGGCATAATTTCTTAAATGTTATGTTTGTTTCAAAGTATTGACACACAAAATATTTCAATAACTATTACAGCGAATGGAATTGCACAGCAGTAGGAATAGCAGATAGAAATCAAAAAATTATGCTAATGATTTGTCATTTCATTTTTTAAAGTAGAATAGACATATATTCAATGATTAGCATATGCTCGTGCACAAGGGATAATAAAGAATTAAATGCAAACATTATTTAACATTATAAACATGAAGAAATAAAAAAATATGACAGTTGCTTTTTAGAGGAAATTTAACATTTTCTTATTTTGAAAGAAATGTAGTAACTCAAGCATTAAAAATAAAATTCAGCCAATATTTACAACTTTTTAGAATGCACACATTAATTTATTTAAGGTTTTTTTTCTCTTTTACTCAAAGCTTCATTAATTTTATTTTTTTATAACTAGATCAACTACACAAAAGAGATAATGGGATATTACACTTTAACCCTCCAAGTATAAAGTTATAGAAGCAATATTGCACTGAATTTTCTGGTAACATGCAACTTTTCCTTTGCATAACACTGGAAAAACCAGTTTCTGCTTGTTTTTTGAAGAAAAAAAAAGAACAAGGCTAATGCTTCGATTATAGAATTTATTTATGAGAGCCACCACTGTCAGAAAAAAACAACTCAAATAGTTATAAACTTTACAATAAATTGCATTAAAATATTGTTCATAGATAGTTACTTAAGGTTCATAGAGGAATTTATATACAAAAGTTACAAACATATTATCATTATATCTTTATCATTATTTTTTTATACAAGCACTACTATCTGAGAAAAGCAACATGCAGAGAAATTAACATGTGATAGTTTGCATTAAAATATTGTTCATAGCTACTTTTTAAAGGAGTTCATTGTGTTTATACACAAAAATCACTGCTATATCCTTAAATGCTCATTATATCCTTATTATTTTACATATAAGTATTTCCATCTGCAAGAAGCTATTTATTGCATTATATTACTTATAGAAATATACTTTTTAAGTAGGAAAAAATTACTAACCTGGCCTACAATAGGCTTATTGCAAGCCGTGCAATGACCTTTAGGACTTGTGTTGACACCTTGTTTGCTCATGTCTGATTGCAATGTACCAAGCATAGAATCCAACTGATCAACACCTTTGCCTGGGCCAGTTGGTGACCTGGACACCTTATTAGGCTTTGCGTATTGTGCTTCAGACGGTTTGCTAGGTTGTGAACACTATAAAGAAATACCACTCAGAAAATTGAAAAAAATCAAATAACTTAAGATGTCACTTAAAATCTACTGCATGCACACCTCAAACGATGAAGAACAAGATTAAAACACTCCGGAAGATGCAGAACGTATAGGTACCCCCAGGGAAGCTTTTTCAGTCACAATTGTGGAAAAATCCTAAATTTCTCTTTCTCATTTCTTTCCCATCAGGCCCCGGGAAAGGTGGAGGAGGGGGGGAGTTTGATCCAGAGTTACAAGTAGACTGAAAAGGACACAAGCTGATAGGATTGGCAGGGAGTTGGAATCAGGGGGTGGGATCTAAGAGCCCCAAATTAAGGGAACTGCCCTACATCTCATTGGAAAAAGTATGATGGGAACTATTTTGGGGAAAAGAGTGGGTGGCTTGACAGAGAGTTTTCTAAGGCACATGTGGTTGCTATTTTTAGACTGAAGACCTGGCACAGAAATGTTACACAGTGTTAGTGTGGACACACCTTCACTGCAGTTTCCATAAATATGTAAACCACTTAGCTGAGAGAAGAATATTCAATGACACCTTTTTCCTACCAATAATGATAAAGGGATAAAAATGAATTTTTTGTTATGTTAAAATTTGTTTATGCATACAGTTTTTCCATATATATTTAAATAACGAAAATAAAAAAAGAAATATAATATATTAATTTTAAATTGATAGATGTATTTTTACCATGCACTATTTTTAAAGTAATACAATTTCAGACTATAAATAATATGAGTTTTTTTTTATTTTTTATTCCCATGGTTATTAATAGTTTTCCTTTTCTTTAAGCATTATAATAAAAAAAAATCATGCTTCCATTTTTTTTGGATGTACTTAAATAATAAAAATTAGACCTGAAAAACAATATATTAATTTAAAACTGATAGATTTATTTTTTCCATGTTATTTTTAGCATAATATTATAAATAATAGATTATAAATAATATAATAGACTATAAATAATAGAATAGACTATAAATAATATGAGTTGTTTCTAAAATTCCCAAGGATATTAATAATTTTTCTAACAAAATTTTTTTTCTTTTTTATGAATACAATGGTTAAATAAAGGAAATTATTTGTTGGCAAACAGTCAAAGTCCAAATGGATAGAGCAAAATTAAGAAACAGCTTTATTAAGTAATTAAACATGTTATGAAATTTTTAGGGAGCTTTAATCAATATTTCAAATGAATGAATGCATTTAAACAAAATTAGAATTAATATTTCTAAAAAGTACAAAAATTTAGAATTGTTGTTTAAATAATTAAGTCTATTATTATCATTTTTTTAAAAAAAAAAGGGTAATTAACAAATATTTGCACTTTGTGAAAAATGGATATTTAGAAGTTTGGAAGCATTTCATTAACCTCCTTGCTCTTGACAGTTTTTGACATTAAAATTTTAATTAGTATTATTGTAAAGTATATTTTAAGCTAATTTCTTTAATTTTTTTTCAAGGAACAAGATAGTCTAATATCTTTATTGTAAATAACTTGTCAATTTATTTTAAATTATGCAAAAATATGAAAGTTTTAAAATAAGACTTTCACTCAATTCGAAAAATAAAATTCCCTAACTTTTCCAAGTTTTTCAGAAACATGTGAACAAAATTTAAGACCCTATTTCTGTTATACAAACAAAAATGAACCTTAAAAAAATCAGAACATAAAATTTTTTAAAAATTTGTTTTAAAAAATTAATTTATAAACTGGATGCAAAACACTGCTGGTACCTTCATAACTTAATATAAGCATTTAATAATGTTATGATTAATATAAGAGAATAATAACATTTAAAATACTTAAAAAATAAATAGACTTAATGTATTAGATCAGTATTTAACAGTAAATAAAGTATGAACATTCAAAGAAGACATTTGTATATTATTGTCATGAATTTCAAGTTTTCAGCATTAAATTTCAATTAAACTTAAATATCTTTAGTCGCTTAGAGCACCTTGTAATGAACACTATAAAGCAGTTTAAGTTTTCAGAGACAAGTTCAGTCAATATAATAAAGTACCACATGAAATTGCAAAAATATGTGGCTGCTTAATTAAATTTAAATGTATTGAAATAAAAGATATTTTATTTAAAGTTAATTCAAATAAAAAATTATAGTCAGAATACTCATTAATACAAAATCTGTGAAGATATATTTTTCAGCTATCTTAAGACTTAGAAGGAGGAAAAATTGATTCTGAATCATTAGATGCTTTATTATAAACCTCATGCTTTTCTTTTTGCAATCGATTTCAATAAATTCAATAGAAGATTCCAGTAAAAATTAATAATATTTATTTTTCTGTAAAATCAGCTAGCATAAAGGGACGCTTTAGCATTAAAAATATAATCTTCATTTGGAAAACAAACATTATATTAAATCTGATATTAACCATTATCTTAAAATATACTAAACCTGATATTTAAAATAGGAAAATGGTTTCCACCGTTTGGCAGAAACCTAATTTTGTTTTTAAAAAAATTTATTTAATTATTTTATTGAATTAAAAATAATGATTGAATAACAGATGAAAAAATATAAGGCAAACTAATCTGTTTTGAACAAAGAGACATATGTTTTTTTTCCCAAGTTTTTTTCGATAAAAATAGGAAAGAATTACAGGATAGATGCAATGGCTGATCTGGGAACCTATAGTTAAAAGCAATTGCACTTGTCAATTGTTTAGTTTGTTTTAAATACCTTTCTAAAAATATCATCTTTATTTAACTTGGTCTTACTTTAAAATCTGAAAGAGATGCCATTAAATCATCTAGTTCTTTAGTGGCAGATGATGCAGCAGGAGCAGCAGACTCTATTGTCTGTGGATTTGGAGGAAAAGAGCTGACTGAATTGATGACAGGAGCCTGAACTGTTTCCTTGTATTTCACATTAGAACTGCAAATAAATTTAATTATTTTTCATTAATTAAAACCCCAACAAAATGAAGTCTATTCAATACATGATGCAAAATAAACTTAATGATTGAAGAATTTGAAAAGCAAATATTGTTAAAAAGGAATAAGAAGCAAATAGTAATTAAACAATTTGAAATAAATCATTAGTTGTAGCTGAATATTTTGTGATATGTAAGAAAGCAAATTTATATGAATATTTGCAAAGTTAGATGCATAATGCAAGTGACTGAAAAGAAGATATGAATAATATATAAGAATTCCCAAATATTTAGCGTGGAATATTTGTTACCATTCCAGAAATTTTTTTAGTATCACTCCTTATGAACAAAAAAATAGTCAAATTTTTTTATATTACTCATTTAACAAAAAAATATTAATAAAAGAAAAATAATTAAAAGGGAAGGGGAAAAAAGGGGAAAAATTTCCCAATCTTAACCCACAGGACATCCTTGCAGAAATGAACTGATATCAGAATTTCTTCCTCTGCTTCAAATAGCCACATTTTCCCACAGTTCTGTTGATTTCAAACATACTGGTATGCATATGAATCAATATAGAATTTTTAAAAATTAGAATAAGTTTGAAACAACTTGGTGATTTTCAAATAAATTTCGCCAAAATATGTCAAGAATTAATATTGGGATATTTAATATTTAGTTATAATTGCTTGCAGAAAGTTTTTTAATTGAGATTTTTTTTTGTTTTCGGAAAGATTTACATTTTATTTAAGTCTGTTGAAAATTTGAAATTTGAATGAGCGCTTAAATGTGAAATGATATTCTAAGGTTATTAATTTTATTTTTAACCTAATAAGCATTTTTCCTTTCGTCATTACTCATATTTTTACTATATCTTAAACCTTGTTGTTTAGAAAATAATTAGGCTGTCAACTCACTCTACTAATTATAATTGACACAAACTTAGCAAAGATAAAAAACTTAGCAAAGATAAAAATTGTCACTGTTCTAAACAATCTTGCAACATGTTTTAATCATTCATTTTGATATTCATAACAATCCCAGATTTTCAGCAGAAAAGAAAATGCTGTTTTGATGGGGTTTAATTCTGAGGATGCTTTTTAACTTATGGGAATCAGTATAGTACAATATTTCAAAAGGAAAATTTAAAGGGAAAAAATGTTTAAAACTTTAAGCAAAATGGAAACATAAAACATATAAGCAAAACATATTAAATTTTTAAAAAAAAATCAAAATGAAAACAAATATTAAAAAAATATATAAAAAAAATTTATATAAAATAATGATACATAAAATAATTATATATAAAAAATAACTAACTGAAAAACTAATTAGCTCAGAAGTTGACTTTTTATTTCAAGTTTCCTACTTTGGAGGAGGCCAGTTTTTGCCAGAGTTGTGTTGCAAAGAACTTATAAGTTAAATATTTTGTCATCCTATGTAAATATGTAAAAGATCACTCTAAAAATTTCTAGAAATTTTGAAATTTTTTTATTAATGTCCTATTTTATGTCTACACTTATTAATTAAGGAAAAAGGAATGATAAAGAGTATAATGAAAAGTTAAAACTTTTTAGCCAGATACTAATTGATGTAATTTTATTATTTGTCCTATATACATGCATTTTTGATGTAATACTTACTGATTGATGTAATTTTATTAGTGTTACATACATGTATTTTTGATGTAATACTGATTGATATAATTTTATTATTGGTGTTATATACATGCATTTTTGACATAATACTGATTGATGTAATTTTACAAGAGTTATATACATGCATTTTTGATGTAATACTGATTGATATAATTTCATTATTGGTGTTATATACATACATTTTTGATGTAATACAGATTTACGTAATTTTATTATCGATGTTACATACATGCATTTTTATTTACTTCTGAAAGCTAAATTAGAGTAAAAATATAAATCTTACAGTTTTGGGGCATCAGGCAATGAGCTTTGCAATTCATCTAAAAGACTATCAACAGTTGGGCGAGCAGGCTCAGAAAAACCATTAGTTGATGTCGTAGTAGTAACTTCATTACTATAAATGTTATATCCTGGTGATTGATAACCTATAAAGAAATGATACAGAATAACAAATGTAAAATAGTGTTGACACAAATTAAATATATATATTTATTTTTTGTTACACTTAAAAAAACTAGAAAAAACTAGAAATCAATGATTTATTAAATTGTTAAAAAATTATCAATATAAAAAAATATAATTTTTTTATATCAATATAAAAATATATATATATATAAATACATGTAAAAATATAATTATCAATATAAAAAAATATTATTTAATGACCATTTTATGTTAAAAAATCTAAATCTGTATTTAAAACCTAATAAAGATTTGAGTATTTTTTTTAAAAATTTTTATAAGTCATTCTTTGTCTCGTTTCAATTTTATAAAGCAATGATAGGAAAGTTATTAGTCAAGAAAGAAAAAAACACTTAGACAAAATGTTTTTAAAAATATCGAAATTCCTTAACAATAATAAAATGAATTCATTATATTTTTATCAAAGTTTGGTTGCTTTTAAATTGTATTTGAAGCTATTATTCATCGAAATAAATATATGGAATTTTATCATATAAAACAAACTAAGCCACTTTATATATTTTTTAAATGTATAGGTAAAATTTAAAATAAATTATTGTTCAAGGCATTATATTTCTATATAGTCGAAGCTTATATAAGATTTTATAAAGCAAATAATTCTTAATAATTTGCAGCAAACTTATAAAACTAAAATTTTTTAGCAAAGTTGGACAATTACAGCATGTTTTAATTTTTTCATTTCCAATCGTAACCAGGGGTCTGTCCAGACATTTTGTGAAAGGTCCGTTTTTCGTGAAATTGTGAAAAAATTACTCACATTCTTTCAACCAGGGTCCGCTTTTATGAATTTGTGCAAATTGGGTCCGTTATTGCAAAAAAAAACTTTTTCAAGGAGTTTTTAAATTGAAAAGACATACAAGATTATGTTCAACATTGTAAAATTATGATTAAAAAAATTTAATTTTAAAAAATAAACAACAATTGATGCTTCTAAATTAGATATGCAACATACAAATATTTGGTATTAAGCCTATACTGCTGAACGCAGAATATTAATTTCGGACGAATAATGGAAGAATCGTCTGCCGAAGACAAAACTTAATTCGTTTACATCCATC